TTTTGGAGTGAAACTGTGACTGCCAAGCAGCCTGGCTGCTACACTCTTTTGCATACCGTCAGCTTCGTAAGGGGTCTTGATCTGGACATCTCACTTCCAACTGAACACAACGCAAGAAAGCCATGGTTGGGTTGCTGGGCACACTGCGTCTAGCTTAATGAAAGACAAAGTGTCATTTGGCTGTTGTTTCCAGTCTCTCAGCCATGGTTTTGCTCTTCAGGCTTACTCCGTGTTGCATGCTCTTAATCTGGCCTGATCTAGTTTTCCCAGGTCGCCTGCAAAATGATCTGAGGCAGAAGTTGTGTTTATTTCTTGCTTCAGCAATAAATGTTCGGAGGCCAAGGATGTCCTGCTCTGTGCCTTGCACAGAACGCCAGTTGTGATGCAGTCCCTTAGGTCGGTATCCTGTGTCCCCACCAGAGTTTAGCAGGCCACATCTGAAGGTGAATGAGGCTACTTTAACAATAACTAATACAGCAGTGTCCTCCAGCCCAGTGCTGGAAACATCAGGCTTCAGAATTCAAAGAATCCCGTTACAAATGAATGGTTTCTGCCCCAAGGATTTAACCAAAAGGATGGCACAATGCAAAGCCCTTTTCCCCTGTGACTAGCTCTGGTATGTTCTTCTATCTTAAAAACAATATATTGCTCTTTTTTGGGTCTGTTCTGTTTGGGGGCATTGACAGCTTCACTGCTTTTTGTTCTTGCCCTGTGGTCTCCACCAGCACTATGAAGATAGCTCTGTGCTGCCCAGCCTACAGGAGAGAGCAGACACCTATCCCTACGCTGGCGTGACAGGAGGGCTGAGCAACCTGCTAGGAAGGAAGATGGGAAACAGCAGGAGGTAGGCAGGCAGTTCCCTGGTGTTTCTTGAGTGCTGGAATGCAATTTATAGCTGTTATCAGAGTGAGCCTGTGAGGAAGACACTGCCGTTCCTACCACACAGGTGGAGATGGTAAACTTAAGTCGGACAATTTTTCTACATCTCTCCACAAGTCTGAGCTGGGAGGCAACCCAGGGGCAGCGTGCTGCCAAACACTTGTATGATAGCTAAACCAGGGTAAGGAGTCACCCTTGGGTTTAATTTGGGTCAAAAGCTGTGCACACCTCCAGTGAGTCAAAGGCAGCTTACATTATGAGGTGAAAGTCATGGTCAAGTTTGAACTTGCATGCTGGGGGACGAGGTTTCCTAGGAATGCTTCGGTGGAATAGAATTCAAAATAGAACTCAGAACATGAAAAATCAAACCAAGGACACAGAAACCCTGTATCACCATGCTGTGCTCCTTTCTTTCTGTGCTTGCAAAATCCTTCTTTAGAGATACCTTTAAAAAGTAGCATGGCTACAAAGAAGATGGAGACTCCCTTTGTACAAGGAGTCACACGGAAAAGACAAGGTGTAATGGGTGCAAGTTACTCCTGGGGAGATTCCAATTGGGCACAAGAGGAGAATTTTTTGCAATGAGAACAATGAGCCATTGGAATGATCTCCCGAGGGAAGTGGTGGATTCCCCTACATTGGGCACTTAAGATGGCCCAACACCCTGTCCAGCTGAATCTTGTCTAGATCGTGTTTTTGCCAAGAAAGGTTGAGGTCCCTTCCAACCTGGTATTCTATGATTCCTTATTAAACACAGTGACATTATGGCGTAAGAACAACTGCATTGTCTTTCTAAGTGTTTCTTCATCTTTCTCTCACCCCAGCCTCTCGGATCTGAGACTTTCTAGTAATGCGATAGCCATGGCAGGACTCAGGTTTGGAAGGCTAGTTCCAGTAGCCTGTGTTTCTCACCAGTATCTCTGGCAGAAAGATAAACCACAGAACTGATAGCAAGTTCCTGTTGTCCAGGTTTCTGGCTACAGAACTGGGAAGGATAAACACCTCCTTAAGCTCTGTAAGATAGAAATAGAACAAGAGAAAGGGATGGAAATCCTCTCATAATGCAATGGCTAGAAGCAATCCAGCTGTTTTGTTTTATTCCCACCATGAGAACTACGGTCAGTCCCAGTGCAAGCTTGGCCACCTGTCAAATCAGGTTTGTGAACTAAAGCTTATTGGAATTTGACACGCTTTTGTCTTGGAGCACACTGGTATGGATCAATATAGGCTCCCCTTATAGCAGTGACACAACACGTATGCTACCCATGGTATCCCAGATGCCCCTCATAAATCATTAAAATACTGACCAGTTCTAATCAGACCCTTTGGGGTATAACGTAATACACTATTTGAGAGCTAGAAACAATAAATCAAGTTAGTACAGAGGTCAGACTGAACAGAGCTGAGACTCGCTTGCCGATGTGTGCGTAGTCTAAGAGATGCAATGGAAGGAGATGAAATCCCAAGTCAGCTAAGCAAATTGCTTTCCTCTCATTGTAAAATCTCACTACTAAGTCTGCTGAAGGAAAAAAAAATAGGAACTCATATTCTGTAGCACAGCTGATTTGAGGTCTAGAATTTCCCAGAATTTGTGTTAGCTCTTGGGATTACAGGTATTTGTAATAATTTGTCCTTTAGGTTAACTCTTACCATATTTCTAAAACAAACTAGCAGTGAAAAATGTGTACCCCCAAATGTCATAGATAACCTGGTATGAAAAGTTCTAAAACAAACTAGCAGTGAAAAATGTGTGCCCCCAAATGTCATAGATACTGGTACGAAAACAATAGAACTTGTATTCTTCTAGAGCTGGAAACCAGTTACCCACTAGCAAAACCCAATTCAGATGCCATCAGATGGCAGCTGCTGTGGTTGCCCTCCTCTGTCTTGCCTGGACACAGCAGCAGCTTTGTGAAGGGGGTGGCTGTGCAGTACCCAAGTGCTGGGAACCAGTAACAGCCTGTGTGCTGCGTAAACCCAAATAATTGATACCTTCTCTTTGATACAGAAAAGGTTGAGTCCCATCCATGTTTTTCAAGTGTTGTCTGATGCTGAGGCCAACATGATATGGGGCACGGCCAATCTCCATGGCCAACGTGTTGGCCAATATTTGGCTACCGTAAATATTGTCTGGCAAAGAATGGTACTAAAGGCTAACTCCCTCATTCGTAGCTCTTGTTTCTTACCTTGTATTTAGAGGAGAGATAGCTAATAATTGTGTCTTGTCTTACCTTAAGGCAAGGACGGTCCGTGGCAGAAGATGCTGTGCTGCATGTACACTGCAGATGCTAAAGCTCTACAACTCTCAGTACTGCTGCTTAATTTCCCTTGCTTTCCTTGCACTTCTTCCTCAAACCATTCTCTGTTTGGTCTAAATTGGGCAGAGTGTTTTTAAAGCCCACGCAGCAGAGTAGCTTGGCACCTGAGTTTTACCTCTGGAGCTGCATTTCTGGTAGTGGCCTGCAGGGAAGGCTGTCAGAGGCTCCAGTTGTGGTAGGCTCCCTTCGTTCCTGAATATCAGAAAAGGACTTTGCTCTAAGCATGGGAAAGCTGCTGTTATGCTGAGCACCAGCTTTGCTCTGGGGAGGTGCGAGTTGTATGAACCCTTGGGGTTGAACACTGGTGGCTCTGGAGTTGAAAGGTCTGGAGAGCAGTGCCAGGAGATGATCTCAGACCTTGTGTTTGGTAATGCAAGCCACTAATCCAGAAAGTCACCATAAAACAGCGAACAAAGTCTCCGTGAGACACTGGCAGTAAATAAAAGAGCTAGCAAAAGCCAGGGTAGTAAATAACTGGTGGTGAACAGAGTGGAACCTGGCCTGTTTGAACGATGCACCAGCACCTCCAAACTAGGTGCATGCGTGGGGCAAGGTGGATTAATATTGTGTTTTATTTCTAATTAGGCCTAAAGCAAGTTTGAATTTGCTTTAAGCCCGGTGGAGAAATAGTTGAAACACAGATGGAGACACAATAATCAGTTCCATCGGAGGTGCAGCACAGCTTGGTGCGGGAACTTAATGAAGATTTGTTGGTCAACAACAATCTCCCAACCCGCTTAACGTGCTCTCCATTTAATTTGCTCTGCTATTGTAGTAAATTTGAAGCCCCCAGGTCAGACTCAGCTTTTGTGGCTCTTGCAGTCTCTGCAGTGTCAGCAGGAAGCACTAACCGAAGACTTAGAGCCTGGACTTGAGCAATGTGTATTTCTCCTAATGAAACCCAAAGCCAGGTGAGAGAGGGAGAGAGGAAACAGGATATGGGGTCCCTTTGGGGCTGGGGGTGTTCATAACACTCAGAAACTTGGCCCACGTTTCTGGTCTCCTCCCTTTCTACTCCACAAAGGGCTTGTAGCATTTTTAGATAAACTTGGATCCATCCTGTGTTGTGAGAGAACCTGCTGGGAAATTTGGTGATTCCTGCACTCCAGGGCAGAGGAAACGTGTGTTTCTGCTTTGTGTTTTCAGGAAAGTAGGAAGATGAAATTCAAAATAAAACACAGCAGATGGGAATCTCAGAGAGACAGACACTGGGAAATGTTTAGACAAGCTTTGTCCCCAGTCCTTGAGCTCAGGATTTAGCAACTAAACTGTAGAGAGACTTCAGAAAGACGATGAAATGCATTTTGGCTTCAAATACAGTTCCTCCAGAATCCAATGAGAGTTGTGCACGTGAATCTGAAGGCAGAATATAGCCAGCAGTTTGGGGAATAGATGTAATGTGAGAAACTCTCATGCTATATTATTATAGTCTGAATTGTTTCCATCATTTTGGGTTAAGTAATTCCCCACTATCCATCTCTAAAGTGCAAACAGTACAGCCTTGATGTGCCCCAGGGAAAGGAAGCAAACCAGCCTTTGAATCTTTACCCAACCTTACTGCTCATATTTTGCTTTCAGTGAGTAACTGTTCAAATCCTTTAATATTTCATTCCCATAAAAATATATTTACCAGGGGTTTTTGTGGCAGCAGTGAGGCTGTGTTTATTATTTTAGGAACACCACACGACTGGCTTTAGAGAAAAGACAAGGCAGGAGCACAGAGTGCTGCAAATCTATCAGCGAACAGCATGTTTTCCACCTGTTGAGGCAGCAACCACAATAACAGATGCACATAATAATTACCTGTACCTCAAAGGCAGCACCAAGTCCTGCACCTTCTGCTCCCCACCTCGCAGACAGCTTGATAGCAGAATTATGGAAGAGGAGCACCGAGAGAGTAGAGTAGGGTAGTGCTTTGTGAAGAACGAAAAGAGCAGCTCTTATTAAAGAGAAACTGGAAGGTGGAAGATGAAAAGGAAAGATCTGAGGCACCACAATGCTAAAATAAGAGTGGAGCTAAGGAACTCCAGGAGCTTGCCTTATTTTTAGAGTGGTGGTCAGGTTTTTGCTAATACCTTTTCCAAGGCTGCTCTCATTTGTATTCTTAGCATCAGAGAGGATTTCTACTGATAAATAGGCGCCCCCTCCTTCTTGGAGACGGATGTTTCTGCAGTGGCAAGAGGTGGCAGATGCCCTCCCTGTAGGGTAAGGGCATCATCTCAGTAAGTGACACCATGAGTGACCATGACTGTGTGCCAAGGACCCTGTTCCTCTTCCCCTCCCTGTCCCCTGGCACTGGGAGCCTGCTGGAGCTGCCCTACCCTTTTGTTTGCAAGCGCCCCAGAGCATCTGGTGTGAGAAGGGCTGGGGACAGTACGGGCAGCAGGGGTGCAGGGCAGGTGGTGAAATGCCTTTGGTCTTTCCTGCTGAAGTGCTGAGGCTTAGGAGGATCTTTTTCTCCCCTTCCTCTGACTCCCAAGAGGAAAGAGGTGACATTTGGCTGGGTGAGGACCAGAGCATACGAGCTCTGGGGTGGTTTGTACCATGGTCGTCCCTCACTTGCAGGAAGGAACAGATCCTTCCTAGCAGGGATTTGCAGGGGAAGGGAATGATCTCAGCCCCGATTTAATCTTGACAGAAGCAGATGATGAGAAGACTGTGTGCTGAGTTGGAGTTTTCCTTTGAATTCCTACGGTGTTGAAGGCAGCGCTATAAATAGACACAGTATCCTTTTTACCCTGGTACAATTCTGTCTCCAGCTCCCCATATAGACAGCAAGTCTGCTGGTAAGCATTTAGCAGGAATTAATTTAACCCAGTCTTCTCTTTCTGTTCTCCTTTACTCCAAGCATCCCGATGGCTTCCACAGTCATACAAACATATTTCCTCAATAAAAATGTTCTGAGAAAGGCTGTTGATATTAAAAATCCCGTCTCTATCTGAAAATTCTATCCTAGTTTATAAATAATCCATAGAAGCCCCAAACTATAAAGAGTTAGTATTAAAAGAAAAAAGGGGAGGAGGGTGTAAAAAAGAAAAAGATCTCACTCCCCCCACCCCCTTTCAAACTTCTTACTCTTTCTTTTTTTCCCCAGGTTTTGTTTCTGAACTGCACAGCATTTTATTCATAGTCTGTTTCACATTTTCTCCAGTGCAACTGCCTGGCCAGTTTCTCCCTTCCCGGGAAAGACTCTTGTGAACATCAGCTGAGAAGGAAACCCAGAAACAGTGTTTCATGGCTATTATCTTAAAGATAGATCTCTAAGAAATTTAAATACAAGCCGGACTGGTATTCAAAAAAAACCAAACCGCTTGAATTTAAGCATCTTTTCCAGTCAGAGGTCCTCAGCCTGGGAATCCAGCTGGAAAGCAAACTAGAATTTCACAAATATTAGAGTTTCTGAGTAGAAGAGCAGAGGCGATTATCTGGCCTAGCTCTGCAGTTGTCTCTCTGCTTGCGGAGCCGGCTGTGGTTAAATTCATGCTGCTCGGTGCGTGTATTGGGTTCACTGGGGGTTGCTTTGTAAACAAGCTTAAAAGTACTTGCCTGGTAGTCGAAGCTCCCGCGCTGCGGTGTCTTGGATTACCTTTGTTTGAATAATACCACTTAGTTTCCTCCTAACGTGCCAGTTGCACGAGAGATGTCTAGCCTCTCTGCCTTCAGCTTATTCAAAGTCTATTTTTAATTGTGTTAATTATAAACCCAAATCCCTTACCCTCTTTGGACCTGCAGCCATCAGCCAGAGCGAGGCAACTGGAGGGCAGCAGCGGCGGGAGGCTGAGTTTTGAGAGCGGCCCATCGCCTGGTGGTGTCAGTAGATGTCACCTGGCCAGCCCTGCTGGCACTGGGCTGGTTGGCACCAAGCAGGCCAGTGCTGGTGGTGATTTTGGGACCTGGGGTTTCACCATGTATGCTTGTTGGAGGGACAGTTGTGGTTTACCCCATATGTGTTCAACTGTGAGAGGGTGGCTGGGCTTACCGCCAGCCCAACCATGTTGGTGGGCAGTTGGGGTTCATCCAGGAACCTGGAACAGGCTGCTCGGAGAGGTGGTGGAGTCAAAACCCACCTCGATGCCCTCCTGTCCAGCCTGCTGTTGGTGACCCTGCTTTGGCGGGAGGGTTGGACTAGGTGATCTCCCAAGGTCCCTTCCAACCCTGACCATTCTGTCATCCCTCCAGCAGCAGCAGGCAGCAGTGGGGCAGCTGAGTCTTACCCCCCAGCCATGTGCATGGGTGCAGGGCTGGGGTTACCCTGGCATGCGTGTGTCGGGATGGGGGTGCCCAGTTTTACCCACACGTGCCAATGGGGGTCCACCTTGATGGGGCGAGTACGGGTGGGCTGTGCCAAGCCCTACGGCCAGGGCGGGTTTGCTCCCAGATACAGCCTCCTCTCTCCCTCCCCGCAAATCCTTTTCCCTCGGGATTTGACCCCGAATCGGAACAAAAGGGCCAAGGGGAGGTGGGGGGGGGGGCTACCGGCCGGCGGTCTTGCTGGTCCCTCGCCCCAGTCCCGCCGCCCGCGCCGGGCCGACAGCGCCACCTGGCGGCGCCACCCGGAGTTGCGGCGGGAGGGAGGGGGCAGCGCCCACCCCCAACTCGGGCTGGGGTACGGGGGACACGCCGTGTGTTTTTTGGGGAAAAAAAAAACCCAACCCATCATGTTATGTCACAGCGTGAGGAATTTCCGTTCTTTGTGCCGTTCTGCAGCGTTCGTGGCAATTTCTCATCCCAGTAAGAAGCAGGTTTTCCAGTTGCGCCAACCAGTGCTTTAAAAGCGCGGTTAGGTTTTTATTGCATGAAGTGCACTGGGTGCTCCCGTCCCCCCAGTGAGGGCACCTTCAGCGGTGCCCTTCTCTCTACAGCCGAAGATCTCAGTCTCAATCTCTGCGGCTGCTAAAGGCCAGGGGAATCTCCTTACGGGTGGGAAGCTCAAGGAGATGTGGTTCCTGTGCGTGGGGCATCTCTTCAGCCAGAGCCACTGGGGACTTTTTTCCCCCTACTTGTTCTGTAAGCTGAAATCAGTTTGTTAGAGTTAATTGGTAACTGAGATGTGTATTAAATTTTGGTTTGGGTCTGAAGTGTGCTTTTAAGCTGAGCCTTCCTACTTGCTGTGTTTTTGTTGACCTTGCAGAGCAGCCCCTGAGCTCGTGAGCAGGTTTCCTTACGCAGGGAACTAAAGCAAAGAAGCGCTCCAGCACTGCTCTCCTGCTGCTCGGGGATGTCCACTCCATAGGGTTAGACCAAATAAAACCCCTCTGAGATGCCCTCAGCGTGAGGGTCAGGTCCTTAGTGCCAAATGCTCTGCGCTGTGCTCTTGTTCCTATAGCCTGGCCCGCAGAGCAGATGTAGATATCACCAAAGAGCATTAGAGAAGGTGCTGAGTTGTCTATCCTGAAGGCAGAAATCTGCCTTGTAGACAGCACTGGGAATGGCAAGGAATGTTTTCCCTTGTTGCTGTGCTGTTCTTGAGCAGCCAGCTCACATGGTGGGAAGTATTCATGCCTCTGCATTCCGGAGTTTGGTACTAGGAATGCAAACAACTGCCATCCCCGAGCTGGCTTTGTGCTGCGAATGTTTGTCCGCTGGGAACCGAGAGCCAGATGTGCTTCACATAGTTTCCAGGCAGCACTGATCCATCAGATGACAGTAGCTATTGAGTGCTCTTATGGTGGCCCAGAGACACAGAGATGAAAGCCTGATGCCTGTCAGCACCTCCCCTGCCATTCCTGTATCCCTTCAGTTTTCACTTGAGTCCCCTCACAAAAGCAAATGCCACAGAACATGATGTTGCAATGTTAATGACCTTTATTTTTGAGAAAGAAAATCCGAAGTTTTATAATGTTGAACTGACAGACAAACTTGGGATCCTTTGAACTTTGCTGTTGAATGCTTTCCTGCACCCGCTCCCACTGCCCACGCGGCTGTTTGGACCCTCAGCTGAGAACCCACCTTCCTCTTCAGAAGCATTTTCCACAGCATCTCCTGGATGGGTTTTACTAAGGTAGATGAAGAGTACTTGAATGCCCTCTCAAACAACGGTAGTTTCATGGACTAAAAAAAATTATACCTAATGAACAGTTAAAGGGAAACACTATAAATAGACCTGGATAATTGCTTAAAGAGTGGTTTGTGTTGTTTCCCAGCTGCTCTGCTTTTGAACAGCCTCTTACCCCCAACTCAGGGGCTCCACCAATTGTAAAAGCAAGAACTAACCAGTGCCAGATTCAGGTCTCAAAATACAAACCATTTTAGATGCGGGGAGCAAAAGGGTGGGGGGCTGATTCATAAGAAAACTTCTAAGCGTTATTGTAGCATAAATAATATGCCATCTTTCACCTCAAATAGTCTAACACTTCATAAAGTGATATGAGCTTCACTAGTTGCTGAAACACAGCTATTTCTGAAGTGGAACCTGATATCTTTTTTTTTTTTTTTTTTTTTTTTTGGTTGGATTTTCCTAAATGTTGTGGTATTTTTTTAAACCAGAGCTGCCTCAAAATGGAAGCTGTGGATTCCCAGTGGACGATGTCTTTGTGACAACAACTAAGCTTTATTTAACCCCCCCTGATATTTTTTTTTTTTTTTTTTTTTTTTTTTACCAGTAGAGAGCAATGTTTTAAGGTGGAGAATGAAGGTTACAACATACAACCAATCATAAGTATAATCGAGGAGGGCTTTGCAAAAAGGAAAGATCAGGTAAAATCTACTTTTAGTACTAACACGCGTTCTGGCATATCATAAACTTGTGTCCTTAGTTTACAAATACAATTCATTTTAAAGAGATACCAGAAACTCAAATAACATTTTGTGCTCTCTGTTTTCAGCGATACTCTTTAGCAGCGGGTTCTCTGGTTCCTTTCCTCTCTTCATTTAATTTAATGTCCAAGTCCCGCAGCTGGCTGAGGAACCCTGAATTTGGGCAGATGTCCCTGTGGGCGCTCACTGTTTTCAGAGCATCCACGAGCGTCATGTTTTCATGGATCATTAAAAAGGCCAGCACTAGAGAGGCGGAGCGGCTTATCCCCATGGCGCAGTGGACAAACACCTTACCTGCAAGAGAAGAGGCACAGGAAGGTGAGTGGGCTTTAGCATTTCTAAAGCGAGAGGGACACAGGGAGGAGAAAAACTGCTGGAAACAAGCTGGGAAAAACCACGGTGACGATTAGCAGATACTCATGTTTTCATGGTTGGTTTGCATGACATCCTGCCATACATCTCAGGCAAGGCGGTATTTCAGACTGACCTCACGCATCTTAGGCCTTGGATTAAAATAGTTGAAATTTTCTATGGAAGGAGAAGCTTTCTGTGACTAAACTTGTTAATATAATTTTCTGCGGGAAAAAAAAGGAGTAGTTTTGGCAGAAAATTTTGGCCCAGCCCTGCCTGTGATCACTGACAAGTCCCATAAACTCTGTAGGATAGTCTGCCTGTAAAAATGGACTCATAATTTACTGTATCTCAGCAGCCCAGTGTGAGCTATAACTGGGGATTTAATAAAGCACTCCAGTGAAAGCAGCCGATCTCGCAGCCAGTCAGAGTCGGAGCAAACTCTGGAACAAATGGAAATTATGATAACTAGGCCATAATCCAAACTCTGCTGACAAAAATTCAGCAGGCTGTGGGTCAGGCTCGTAGTTTTTGACTTAGTTCATTAACTTCTGCTGCTTCTCTAGCTTAATAGACAGCCTGAATAAAGCTCCCGTTCTGCGAAGCACTTAAGCCTGTGAAGCATTTAAGCCAGGGCTGCGGTGCCGCGGCTCCCAGCTGAGCCCATCAGGAGAGGGAACAAGGGTTTGGTACCCAGGGCAGGGTCTCTGGGCTGCAGACCTTGCCGGGGTGTGAGGTGAGTGTGGAAGCACACGGGTCCTGCCCATTCCTGCAGGATGGACCCATGGGGGAGCACCCGTAATGCCATAACCTCTGCTCATCCCTATTGTTCTACTCCTGGAGTTGGCCCTTCCTCCCACCATGCTGGGTTTGGGGTGGCCAGCCCTCCCTGGGACCTGGCTATGGCCACCTTCCCTGCAGCACATGGCATAGGCACCCTTCTCTGGTCCTCCTCACGGCAGTTCTATATGTGCCTTCTCGAGCCGTATGCTGAGTCTAAGCTTTGCTGGCTGCCTCCTACTGCAAGGAGAAAACCATTTGGCTCGCATTGAAGCTTCCTCCCAAAGCTTCTCTTCGCCTCCCTCTTACCTCCTGAAGTGTTTAAGGCTTTGCCTATGAAATTGGCAGCGTCGTAGAAGAAGATACTTAAATCAAAGGAAGGATCATCAAATGCTTCTACTCCGTAGTACTCTATTTGCAGATCTTTGTAATATTTGGCTCCGGTGTTGATGCTATATGGCCCATCTGCCGCATTAAGGATATGAGTAATGTTGAGGCTTTGAAGAGTAGTTTTGCTCCTAGCAGCCCACCTGTTGAAAGACACGAAGGGCTCATTGGCAACCCTCCTAACGTTCTGCTAAAATAGCATGGTTTAAAGTTAGTGCCTGCTCCCGCTAGGGAAGGATGCAGGAACTGCAGCTCGCTTGCAGAGTAGTGAATTTTGAGAAGCCCATAGTGCTTCGCACATGAAAAGTGTGATACGGTGGTGTGGAGAGCAGCAGGAACACAGACTCGCTGATGGGATGCTTGTTAGTTAACCAAGTGCCTCCCAGCAGTTAAGCCCAGGGAAGATGACTTACTGTGTAAAGCAGTCAAGATTTTCCTTTAAACAGTTGTTTAGCAAGTTCCAGAGCTAATCTCTCATTCGTAGTGTGTGAGGGTCGCAAGGGAGAGAACCCACCCAGGGTGTAGCAGCACCTCGTTCTTGGTTTGGACATGAAGCAGCTGCATCATACTCACCAGCCAGGTTCTATCCCCTTCCCACCATAAACTGGGACTGAAATTATTCCACAAAACTCTGATTCCTAACTGCTGCATTCATGAGGAGAAGGAGTTGGGAAAAATGATCTGATAATCTGTGGTATCTGCAGTAATCCAAATAGAAGGAAATGGCAATAAATAGAAATTGTCATAAGAATAAGGTATTTGTATGAAAATTCTGGTTTGATGTTTTCAGTTTTACCGTCTTTGAAAGAACTTTTGGATTCAAACTGGCAAAACCCCTATTGTATAATTCAGTTGTGTCCTCCCCCATCTGGGTCTTGATCCTGCTGCTCCTGTTTGAGTGTGAGGGCTACTGTGCTCTTGTCTGCTGCCATAGAGCAGAGTTTCCAGGGCAGATAACACATCTCAGAGTTTACACCAACTTGGGATGGGTTCTTTAAGGACTTCTGTCCAGAGTACAAATAATTCTTACCCTGCCAAATCCACTGTGGTTCACAGAATATAGAAAAGCCAACTCAGACGCACTACGAGTAAGTCACCATTTTGTATGTCATGTTTTTCATGACATCCAAACTACTTATGTTACCAGTTCTGGAAGCCTGTATGGCAGGCCCAAAACATTCCTGCAGACCCAAAAGCTGCTCCCCAGTGAACTACAACCCTTCCTCCTCTTCCTCAGCACCAATAACAGCTTAATGATAGGACCATGTGTTCTTACGCATCTCCCAGGTAAAGATTTGGCCAGACTTGGTCCACATGATTATCAGACCCTCCTCTGAACCAGAAGAGCCGCTGGAGGTCTGATAGTGCTGGTGTTTCATAGGAAGCTCCACTCCCTGCACTGCTGGTCGGAGATGAAGAGTCTCTGGTGTGAGGCATCTTGCTCCTCTCTTGCAGGCACTCGGGCTGTATCAGAGACAGCTATTCTGAAATGAATTAAGAGTAAATTTTCATACAGAAATAATATTCCCTAGGAAGCAGTCCTGTTCATTACCCTCCAAATAGCATTACATTATTATAACTGGTGTGTGCAGCAGGGCCTGCAGGTGCTGCTAAAAGCGTCCAGAGAGAGGGACTGACTCTGTGGTAGGACTCCACAGACGTGTAATTCATTCCCTCAGAAAGCAGCAGCAGAAGGCAATATGATTTAATTTCTTGTCAAGTAACACTGTTGGAAAAAAAAGAACATCCCGTGCCACCCGAATGCAGCACGGGCTGAACCTCCTGGGTGCAGGTATTATTTCTGTTACTGTGGTGCTGATGAGCGTACACAGGAAAGCTCCTGTACTTTGTGTTGGAGAGTTACCAAAGTGTTTGTGCATAGTTGATTCTGGCTAGTTAAAACTGGATGTTTTTGAAAGAATGAATCATTGTACTGACTTACTAAGCTTCTGGGGCCAAGGTGGAAATCCTAGGATGTGTATGTAAGACATGTATGTATACACATATGCTATATGAATATATAAAATGTGTACATAAAATTTTCTTTCATTTATAGGATGCATTTAAACACATGTATATACATACATGTATACATATAGAATAATTTTCACATGCATATATATATATGCACGTATATATATAAATAGAAATGGAGAGAATTTGAACCAGTTTTTTAGTTTCTCTCAGGTGGATACCCCTGAAGACTCAGCTATACTGGTGTACTTGCGTCTGTCTGTCTCAGTCCATCCTCGGGGAGCTGTTCCACTTTATATAAATAATGTGATAGCTGTTTGCCTCCAGAGAGAGGCTGTTTCTCTCATCTGAGGGGTCGGGTACTTACCTGGGGTGTGAGAAAAAAAGAGCATCTGAATTTTGAGAAATTACAGAGCTGGTTTTGTTGCCAGAATTGTTGTTGAGAATCTCATCTCAGACTGTTTTGCTCTCTCACAGGCTGTGCAGTGGAAGATGGGCACCTCTTCGCAATGTTGTTTGCTGGTTTAGACCCAGAAGCTCAGGGCAGCTGGTCCAGCCTGCAGCAGAGCTCAGCTGAGAGCGAGCAAGAGTTCAAAGATACCCAAGCAGTCCCTTCTCTGAGATTCCAGGAGCATTTCTCCTGCCAGGATCTCATTATCCCCAGTTGCTGTTCTCGCCCCCAGAGAACATTGATGAGCTTTGTTTGGTGGCTTGTTGGTATTAAAGCCATCATCAATGTGGGAGCCACACTAGAACTCTTCCCAAAGTGGGGTGGTCTGTGTTTATTCTGATGTAGCATCAGCTTTTGCTGTAATGCCTAAATCTAGAGTTTGGGTTAATTTTCTCAGCAATTCCAGAAAACAAGTGTAGATGGGACCTTTGGAAGTCATCTAGTTTGTCCCCTGTCCCACAGCTGCAGCAGCTGGATGGATATTGTTGCTCCTAAAGCAAGAACACCAGGTATATTTTTTTAAACAGCGTAGGCTGATTTGGGGCATAAGCAGACAGCAAGGGAGGGTATCTTGTTGCTAATGGAAAAAGAAGTAGAGATGCTGCAAGGCAAATTACTGAACACACCACATATATTTCTGTGACCTCAGCCTAAATTTGCTTCCCCTGCCCCCTTCTCCCTCCTCCTCCCCACAAATGTTAAGAGCAGTTACAGCTTTTTGTACATTCCAATAAAAAGGAAGTTTCCCTAGGGTAACCACTTAATAAGCAAAATATGAAAAGCACAATAAAAATAATGGGAGAGATGGAAAAAAAAAAGCTGACTGGTTTTACTTTTAACAATGAAGGAAAAGAACTGAAGGGAAGCAGAGGAATATAGGGATAAAAACCCTATGAATTTTTCAGGGTGTGTGACACCAAGAGCTTTGGAAAAGGAGTATGTTGTGCAATCCCAGCACAGATTAGCATGAAGAATAGCACAGAAAAGATATTGTGCCTTGCCTTACAAGTTTTACTGCCTTGCAAAAGTCATGCACTGTGCTCAAGAGCTACTGCCAGCATCGTCATGATGACCTGTTTGTACTTTCACTGATACAGAACATTAAGCTGAAGCAGTAAAAGGAAATCAAGAAGAAGATAATACAGGTTCTACATCAGGAGATTCATAAGACCACAGGCTCATTTTCAAGGAGCATGGATGACTCTCAGTCACTGCAGATGTTTAAAAGCTGAAGTTGTGGAGGTAAGCAGATGTATACTAAACTTTCAGTTGTCCTAGCCCCCACTGCTTTAAACTTCTGATGTAGTCTGTCAGAGGATAATTTGGGTTGGAAGGGACTGATAATGGTCATCTAGTCCAACCCCCTGCAATAAGCAGGGACGTCTTCCACTAGATGAGGTTGCTCAGAGTCCCATCCAACCTGACCTTGAAAGTTTCCAGGGATAGGGCATCTACCACTTCTCTGGGCAATGTGTTCCAGTGTCTCACCACCCTCAAATGTCTTCTCACCACCCTAAAAAATGTCTTCCTTCTATCTTCCCTCTTTTAGTTTAATGCCATTACCCCTTGTCCTATTCCAGGCCCTGCTAAAAAGTTTGTCCACATCTTTACTGCAGGCCTCCTTTAATTACAGAAGGCCACAATAAGGTCTCCCTGGAGCCTTCTCTTCTCCAGGCTGAACAATCCCAACTCTCTCAGCCTGTCCTCACAGCAGAGGTGCTCCAGCCCTCTGCTCATTTTTGTGGCCCTCCTCTGGACTCGCTCCAACAGGTCCATGTCTTTCCTGTGCTGGAGACTCCAGAGCTGGACGCAGTGCTCCAGGTGGGGTCTCACCAGAGCAGAGTAGGGGAGCAGAATCACCTCCCTCGACCTGCTGGCCACACTGCTTTTGATGCAGCCCAGAATATGGTTGACTTTCTGGGCTGCAAGCACACATTGGTGGCTCATGTCCAGCTCCCCATCCACCAGTACCCCCAACTGTCAGCTAGTTAGAGTAATAGAGTAACGATTAGCAGAGAAAATTACACTGCAAGGCCTCTTGTTCAAGACCTGACTTTGAGGAGGTTCTCTTGGCCTCCAAGAGTTGAGTCATTTTGGTGCCGGTGAAACTTAGCAGGCGACTTCAGCCTTTGCAGCCAGTGAGGAGCTTTGCAACAGAGCTCCCTTTCATACAGCAGTCCTCTTTCCAAAAAAGTGCGTCAGCATCGTTTGCTTCACATGGCTGATGCCAGACAAGTGAGCTCCTCGTGTCAACACGAAGCATCGCCCCTCCCAAGCACACCGCTCTGTGCTGGCCTGGAAATTGAATTGCTCTGTGGGGCCTTTGGGGTAAGGTTGGAAATAGCTATACCAGGTGATTGGGCTAATGAGGAAAGTAATATGAATTTTTTAATTGAAGGCCAGGGACTTTGCTGAGGGCTTCCCCGCCGCCCCTTCTACTTTAAGATGCTGCAAAGCCAGCAGAAGTGCTGCCACTGATTACATTTCTCTAAGCTTCTCCCTCTGGGTGGCTCCCAGAAGCCATTTCAGATGGAGACAGCCAGTGACAGCAGGAGGGCAGGAGCGCCTGTAATTGGGGGAAAAAATACCTGCCTTGCAAGGTCACTAACATTTTCTGCAGAGATCTAGACCACGCAAGTTGGATAGGATTACTTTGCTTTAGGTACTTCCAGACTACAGTTTAAAAGACCTTCACATTAGATTCTTTCACTGAATTTCTCTGAATTTCATCTCTCTTTTTCTTTTTTCTTTTTTTTTTTCTTTTTTTTTTTTAAAAAGCAAAACATCAGTAACGAAATACCCAAGCCTTTCTGCCTACAGGAGACATTTGAGATGAGATAGAGATTTTAAGGGCTGTCCAGATGTATTGACCTCTTGGCTTCCCTGGGAGAATACAAGGTAGCACAAGCTTTAAAAAAATTTTGTCATTACACATGGGTTTCCAAACACTCAGAGCACTGGGGTGCACCTGAAATGGCCGGGAGCTGCTTGGCTCCGTGTATGAGCTGTGAAGCCTGTGTCCCCTCTGTAGGTGGCTTGGATTTCCCTGGTGGCCATAGGCAACAAGTGGCCGTGGGGCTGGCATTGCACACAGGAGCAGCTCCTGGGGGACTTGGTGTTTCCAGGATCTCATCTGCAACAACCGAGTTGAGCTTTTTATCTCCCTGATGTTATCTGGCCACTTGAGTACTACAGTCTGCTCTTTTCTTTTTTTTTTTTCCCTTTTTTTTTTTTTTTTTTCCGTATCCTCCTTGATCACATGTGTTTTGTAGAGGAATTATATTGTGATCCTAAAAAAAGATGCAGCAGTGGGGACAGCTGTACTTTTTTTTTTTTTCCCTTTTTTTTTTTTTTTACTTTTTCTACACTGGAAACAATTACCATTTTCTACTGAAGATTTTTCTGGCAAAGAACAGAAAAAAAACACACAACCCCCACTGACTTGAATTGGCTAAAGCATTTAACAGATTTGTGTTGCAGTTGCAGATTCCAGTGAAAGAAAACTCAGCAAAGTTCTAGAAAAAAAAAAGCAAACACTTCAATATTTTAAGTTTGAAATAGTTAATTTTGTTATTTAAACAAATTTATGATTTCCATTTTTCTATTCAAAGTTACTTTTGTTTTGGAATTTTACTTTAGTGTTGCATAAAATCTTTTAAAATATTAAAACAGTATGAAGTGGCTTGTTCCTGGTTGAGAAAAACATGTTTTGTTTAACTAAAAATGAGCACTAACTGAGCAGACACGATTTGCCCAGCCCTAATTTTCACTTCTGTAACAGGGGAGAGCGTCTTGCCATTTTCTATGGCTGTTTCCTTGTCTACTAAAGACTGAACTGAGCTGTAGAGAGGTTAAAAGACTGTCTGAAGCCCCAGGGGGAGTCTGTGGCAGGGAATTAGTTGGGCCCCGAGTCACCTTTCCTCTGTCCCTTTTGCTCTCGCCTTCCTAGCTGCCACAGCTCTGCTTGTGGTTATGGTGGTAGCCCAGATGGGGACAGGTGTCCTTCAATTACAAGGTCTTACATGAGGTTATTGATAGCCTTGGGCACAGCAGGGCACTGATTTTGGCTGGGCCTGTGGTTACTACAATAACACAAACACTGGATAACATGATACAGAAAGCTCCTGCAGCCAAATATCCTAAATGACTTGAATCAAACCCCAGCAAACTAAATGGTCCAAAATACCAAAGCATGAGATCAGAACGTAATTCACGTGAAAAATAATAATAAAAAAACCTCTCTCAATGCGTTTGAAATTGCTGCCTACTCTGTTTTTTTCTTCTCTTTTCTCTCAGCAAGCATCTCTGCGCTCATCTTTTACCCTCCTCTCTCTTTTTTCTCAGGTAGTGCTTAACACTATGGCTCTTTGTCCTCCTCATGGAAAAATCCAGATGGAAAGAAGTGTGGTTCACAGGGAAATGATCATGTAAGTGGAATTAATCTTTCAGATACTGTAATGTGAAATCTGATCTTCCTTTTTGTTAAGAAGACCCAATCTGTGTCTCTACGTTTTGGCCAGAATCCGATGCTAAGAGAACCCAGGAGTCTCTTGAGGTGGAGCTAAAAGCCTCGTGTGCAGAAACAGGCACATTTAAAAGCAATAGCAAAGTTAAAACAGCCAGATGGGAACCTAGCAGGCAACTGAGAGGGGAACTCTCTGTTTTCCTTGCAAGCCTACAGGGGCTTGTTTGCAGGAATTAGAATCTCTCACCAGCAGTTCAGTGCAGCTCTAATACCAAGTGGTATTGAAAATGAGAAGCAGGTTATGGCTGATGGTTTAAATGAGGCACCTATGGGAATTTAGAAATGAGATCCTGGACTCGTCTCGGTGTAGGCCGTGCACATGGCAGAGCAATATTGCTTTCTTGGCTGACTGCATCATATATTACAGCCTTTTATTTTGCCCACACTTAAACAGCGGGGAACAGTAGAAGTTCATTGCTCCTGCTCGCTGTTTAAACCCTGATCTGCCTCACCAGAGGCAGTGCCCCTGAATAATGGGAAGCAGAATCGGTCCCTCGGCCTCGGTGCGGGTACGTGTTCAATGCAGCACTGTATTAATGCCATTGCCATTATTCCGGAGTGAGGAGAAAAGCAGAAATGTACAATTAAAGCTCTGTTTGGTTCGGTTTTTAAGAGAATTTACTACCCGGGAAGGATGCCAGATGGAGGGCTCTGGAAAACACAGCCCTCTCTTTAACCGCAGCGTCGGGAAGGAGCGGGAGCAGCCCTGCAAGCCCGCTCCAGGGCTGCCCCCTCGGCCCTGCTCCACTCCCAGATGCCCCTCACCCGTGGCTGTGTTTTACTGGGTGGGAGAAAATCTCAAGTCTTCACACCTCTTCACTGCTTGGTCTCCCTCCTGACACTTCTGTTCACGTCCAGCCTTTTTACATTGGTGACAGGGCCCTCTGGCTCCTCCAAACTGAGCTGGAAGGTGCCAACTTCTGCTTGCGAGGAGCCTGAGCTGGGCTGGAGAGCAAAAGGCTCCTTCCTCCTCCTTCCATCCCGTTGCACAGCTACCCGTGGGGCTGGAGGGGCTGCTGCAGGGCAGAGACAACCTGCCACTGTCCCACAGGATGTGGGGACAGCAGGGACGTGCTGTTTCAGGAGTGGGAGCAGTGAGAAGACAGGGCAGGTGAGGGTAACCAGCCCCGGCCAGAGGTTGAGGTGACCAGGAGAGCCTGTGAAGTGGGAAGTCAAGGGGGTGCATGGCCAGGCATGGGAAGAGGTGGCACAGGTTGAGATGAAGCCTGAGTGTCTCAGCTCAGGTGGGCTCCTGAGTGAGGTGGGGAGCCCCAGCGAAGCCTCCCACCCCTGGCTCTCACACAGCTCCTTCCAGCAGCCCCATCCCAGGTCACACAGCCACTGTTGTCCTTGGACAAGGTAAGCCCCCAGGAGGGCCAGAGCTTGCTGAGCCAGGCTTATGGTCCTGCCAGCACAATTCAGGCTGGTGGGTGGAGCCTCACCTGATTTTTGAGGAGAGGATGTTATCACTATCTCATGGAAGTGCTCCCAGAGAGCAGTTCCTTTCCTTAGGGATCTGCAGATATTTTCCCCAAACCATATCTTTCCAAGGGGAGAGAATCTCCGTGCTGCCTCTGGCCCCCCAGCCCCAGCTTGCCTCCCCCACGTCTCCCGTTTAAGAGCCACGCAGCAGAGGAAGAGGCACCTGCCCACGCGTGGGACTAACGCTGCAGGAAAGGATGTTTGGAGAGTGGGGGTGGCGGGTGGAAAAACGGGGAGTCCTGCTTGCAGTGACACGCCGCGGCTGTGGCAGGACGACAGCTTTTGCAACTGCAGCTCTCAGATTCAAAGGAGAATAAAAAAAAAGAAAAAAAAAAAAAAAAAAAAAAAAAAAAAAAACCCAAAAAATAGGGTTTAATATTTTTCCTAGAACTTTTTTTTTTTTTTTTTTTTTTTTTTTTTTTTTTTTTTTTTTAAAAAAAAAAAAAAAAAAAAAAAAAAAAAAAAAAAAAAAGAAAAGTATTACCTTAGCAGCTGGCATCTCTGAGCAATTCAGTGCACCATCCCCAGCAAGACAGCGCTGCCCTCCACAGGATCCTGCCATAATTCCCGACTCGGCTGTGGATATCTGACAAGCCTGGGGTGATGCTTTCCCTTTTTATTCTCTTCTGGGGCCACTCCTGTCCAGGGTACCACAGCTAGGAATTAAAAAAAAAAAAAACCCACCCAAAACTACTGTTTTTCTTGACACGTCTCGACTCCGCACGTGCTTCTCCCTGAATTAAAATAGCTGTAGTTTTAAGTCCTGCTGCCAGCAGCCATGGCTGTGCTGTAGCGAGGAGAGCACACTGTCACCATGCAGATAACTGCTTCTAATAGTAGAAACTTGGCTCTAGCCTTACATAACGCCGGGGATGGAGCAGAGAAGCTGCTGCTGGCGAGGAGCTCAGATGGAGGGGAGACCTGCCTCGGGCAGCCCGTGCCCCCAGGGCCCAGGAGCTCCAGCTCCAGCGAGGAAAACAAAGTGACCTTGATCTTGATAACAGTTCAGTGAGCGCTGTCACCGCCGAGGTCTCCTCCGTGTCACGGGCTGGCGAGAGAGGTGTAAGTTATGGGCAGTTCTGACACAAACGATGTCGAAGAGGCCAGAGCCTGAAAGAGGCGGGGGGGGGGAAGAATGCCTCACATGCTTCAGGAAAGACAAACAAGGATGTTAATATATTGCTATTAAAAGGGACTGCAAAGCTCTTGCCCTTCTGCAGGCAGTATGGATTTGTATGACTGTGGATTAAAGGGTTGATTTTTTTTTTCTTCTCCTTGATTTACTCCTCAAATGATTTTTCTCTGACTGCTGCTGTCAATACAAAATTGACAATGCTGTCAAGCTTGCAAGATTTCAGAATATTTGAAGGCACGAGTAAAGGGGTTTTGATATTCCTCAGTCGTTTGGCAGTGGAATCTTTGAGCTGTCTGCCTCTCCCTGCGCTTTTAACATAAGCAGTGAAGTGCTCTCCTTGCCTTGCCTTGCTTGAAAGGGAACATATGAGAAAGGTACCTTTTTCTAAGGTTGACAAAGCTGTACAAACTCTTTGCAGAGGAATCAAGAGCAAAAGACTTCAAAATTCTACAGTGGAAGATCTATTTTGGCACTTAAGCTTTTTCAGGCAAATCACAGAGCTTTCAAGGGACACTCTCAGCTTTGTTGGTGCAGAGCAGGATGATTATTTTAAGATTTTTTAATTGCTGACTTTAAAATAATATTTTTTTATTAAGTTCTTTTTTAGGTAGGGCTATAGCTTGTGTCAAGGAATTGACCACTGATGTGGTGCACGAAAGCAGCTGAGAGGAGGTACCAAGACCTAGAACTGGGTATTAGTTTCTCTTGCAAACTTTTGATTATGTGTCTGATGAATATTTTCCCCTAATTTCTTATCTTAAACTTGAAATAAAACTGGAGATGGTTTTCCTGTTGCTCCTCCCTGGTGTTGGGGAACCAGGTAAAGCAGAGTGCAAGCAACCAGGGAGCTGCCTAGTCAGGGGCTGTGGTTGGTGCAGCCACCTCTCTGGGCTGTGATGGATGAGGGACAAGGGCTGGGGACACACACTTGCTGCTCTGTGAGATAACCAGTGCCAGGGTCACTGGGAGAGCTTGTCCTGCCCCGTTTGCTGGCTTGTGAGAAGGAGTTACCCCCGCCAGACCCTGCTGCTGTGCTGTCTCTGTGAGGAGCCAGCAGTGCTGCCCCACTCCCAGAAACCTTGTTGATGCCATCTGAGTCTTGCAGTTGGGCAGGAGGGACAGGAGCAAGGGTTGTCATGTGCCAGCAAGTTTGTGGAGGTTTTCTTTTGGCTATTTTTTTTCCCCACCTGTATCTTGTCAGGTTTTATGCTGCTGTTTTTCTGATGCTTTGTCTTGCTGAGGCTTGGCGTGGACTGTAGATAGATGCCAAAGCCGGTAGGGTGATGGAGGGTGGAAGAGCCTCCAGTGAAGCAGCATCCTCATGGCTCCCAGGAGAGGTGAGTCAAGCACAGGTAGCAGGGAGGGGTGCAGCCTTGCTGGAGGTTGTGCCTGCTGCAGGCAGTTCATAATAGATGGTCTGGGAACAGGCTGCAAACATTAACAGTCCATTTTCCCAAAGCAAACCCCCATGCCTCCAGCACAGCCCTGGGAAGGCTGTCCTCTGCTTGAGAAAGTTGCTGTGAGCAGGAACGCGTTAAGGATTGCGAGCTTCTCAGGTACAATGGTAATGGGAGCCATCCATGAGCTATAAATAGCATTAACATCCTCTCTCTCCAATGCCTGGCATCCCAAGCAGTCGTTTTTGCTGGTGCTAGTGAAAATGAACAAAGCTTTGAACAGCTTTTATTTATGTTCTCTTTGGAGACTGGAATTTTGTGACTAGTTTTTCTCACTGGCTCTGAATTTTGAGTTTATTTTAAGGAAAAATATTGGCATTTTTTCCTTTTGGATTTTTTCCTTTTTTAAATTATCATGTATTACTTTCATAGTTTTAGAAAACTATGCAGGAAAAGCTATTGTGACAGGAGAGTGGGGATCACGAGTAGTCATTTACAAAGAGCCTCTGTATGACTGCAAGAAAAGGGGGAAAAAAAAGCCAGAATCTGTAATCCTATCTCAATCTTTTATAAATTTTTAACTAAATGCTGAAAATATTTTGCTTTAGAACTAAGCAGACAATGCAAGGTGCTTTGGCATGATTTGTGGTGTTTACGCTGAGAGATCAGAAAGAAATGGTTGTTGCAGTAGAAGGAAAAGCTTTACATGCCTATAGGCCAAGACCTTCCTGTGGTTACATAGGAAACAAAGATGCCTTTTGTCAAGGAGCTATGAAGAGCTTCGAGCAAAACTGGCAAAAAGGACTCTCCTCTAAATATTTATGGTACACTCAATGAAATCCTGTTATAAAATGATAAAGCCTCATATGTTACACAACTCTTCTTTGCTGTGACAGACATTCAAGAAACACAAGGTCTACTAAACAGACATTTTGTCCTGGAATAACCACCCAGCCACTACTATTAGATCAACTGGTAGAGCTGGAAGAATTAGGCAAGCTGTCAAGTAAGCAAGAAGGGCTATATTTTTTTTCCAATTATGTCAGGTAATCTAATTACACACTGCATTTACTGACAACCCTTGCCTCAGACCAGCACAGCAACACTGCTGTTACTGAAAGGCTGTGGTCTTTCATATTGCCAGAAGATGGCACAAGAAAGCAATGTTGAATGATTTTAAAATGCACAGTGTACTCATGACTGGCTTTTAAAGGGAGCTGTTACTGATATACAAGAAACTGCACTGGTTGGATAGAAGAAAAATGTGAAATGTACTGGATGAATTAAATTGATATTGACCCGGGTGTATACATCAAATGATCTATGCTGTATCCTTTCCTCTGCGGGTTTTCTGAATAAGAAAAGCCTGTAACAGTGCTCATTTTTCATACACACCTTGCAGTTTGGTCTGGTTTTGCTCCACTGGCAAAATCTGTTGAAGAAACCAGTCCCAGCCATAACTCAATCACCCAGAGTGAAAAGCAGGGTGATTCTTTTAGCCTTTTACTCTCTCTCTTACCAAGTATGCTTCTCTTCCCTTTCCCACTTCCTCCGGTCATAGTAGGAAAAGAGCCAAGACAGTGTGAACGTCCTCCTGCTCCAGCTTTTGGGAAGAGAGGGGGGCACAAGGGGCCAATGCTGGGTAGAAGAATACACCTAAGCACTGACAACCTCTGTTGCATTGAGTTGCTGGGCTAGCGGTGGTGGTGGCCTCAAACAGCATCTTTCTTGCCTGTTTTCTAAGGAAAAAATGACGCTCCAGTTACATGGGTCTCACAGAGGGGACCTCTCCATGGCCAGGACTGAGCCTCTCTCAGGAGCTGGGGGAGCTCCAAAAGAGGGCTTGTGTGCAGGAGTCCATGCTATTCATGCTCTCTCCTCAGCTGCTTTCACTTCAAATACTTTTCTTAAAGGAAATAAACCCTCTACATGGATGGAAATTGGTTTGGAAGGTGCAATCAGCTGTCTGGGAGCTTTGAGTTAACCAAAGGTGTTCCTTCTCCTCCTCCCCACCCCAGAGTGATGCTTCCCCTGCAAACTTCTGAAAAATAAAACTGAAGAAAACTTGCAAAGGTTATTGGGCACCGGTGAAAATTACCGGGCGCTCGTTAGCCGGTAGGAGTTATTTCCTGAAGGACCCGGTCCCACCGCCGCTCCCCACCAGGTGTCTCCGCGGCACCGCGCCGGCTCCACCGCCGGGAAAGCCCAGAACGGGGCAGGGAGGAAATTCATCATTCACCCCAGAATGGGGCATGGAGGAAATTAATCATTCACCCCAGAATGGGGCATGGTGGAAATTTATTGTTAACCTTTGTGGTGCCCAGCCCCGAGCCCCCTCCAGCACCAGCTGGCTCAGCTCTCCTTTGCCTTTCCTTTTCTTCCCCCCACAGCTGGAGCTGATCTGCTGGAGTTGATGGAGGCAGGGGGCTTTTTGGGGGCAGCGTGGTGGGAGGAAACTAGTGAGCTTTTTACTAGGACCAGACATTCTGATCCATCTGCAGTAATTAAAAGCTTCATGAGGTATAGGAAGTAGCCAACGTATTGAGGGCTTAAAGCTGGAAGGTGCGTGGGGAAGAATCACTCTGAAGTTGTCCTGTTTCTTACACTGTCTTCCCCTAAACGCTGCTCTGCGCTGATGGAGAGCAATAGAGTAGCCAGACCTTCAGGTCTAACCTGCCTTGGCATCTTTTCCGCATCGCCTGTGACTGAGATGTCGACAATATCCATTACTAAATATCGAATTATGTAACATGGACACCAAACATCCAGCATCTGCTTCCCAGGCAGGGAATATATTTTTCATTGTGAACCAAGATCCATTTCACAGTGGCAGCAAGGAGGATGACAAGGGATCAAGAGTGAAGCAGCAAAAGAAAGATGTTTAAAGCAACTTTCAACTGTTGTGACAATGAGGAAAAACAACTGATGATACGGGACAACCACCACCTGGGCAGGACCACCCTTCCACCATGAAACGATGCTCACACAGACCCCAGTGCTCTCACACCTTCCATCTCAGGATTCTGATCCTACTTGGCTTTTTAAGGTATTGTTCCTTATTGGTAAAATGACTTGGTTCCCAGCTTGGTTCTGTGGTTAACAGCAGAACCAGCTTCATCAAGTGAGTGATGGAAGCTCTGCAGCTGCTGGCAACACCTCAAGAGCACATTGGAGTTTTCTTTCGCCCTTTGGCTGCCCACCTCTGAGTTACAGGGTCCCACCTGCTATTCAGAAGTAGATTAAGTCTTCCTGAAAATGAATAGGTTTAACAGAGCACAAAATGACTTTGAATCTGCCTCCTCCAGGACATGCTACAGCCCGGGTCCTTTTGCCAGGCTTCTGACAACCGATCATCTAGGTCAAAGCATCTCCAGGGTATGCTTAATCTTTCTCTGGTCACGAGGTGAGCAAGCACATACCCTTGACACGTGTAGCTTTTAGTAGGTATGTGTGTATGGGGGAAACAACACTCCATAGACATCTGTTCCCCTTCCATGCTTGAAAGGAAAATCCTCCCCTTTCAGCACCGAAGCATCAGCTTCAAATGTT